TAAATCTATTTTGTTTAGATTTTATTTTTGAAAGAGTTTTTTTTTGTTAGAATTATATTTTATTGAGATATTTAATTATGATTATAATTCATTGAGATATTACAGTTTTCTATTAAAGATAATATAAACATAAAGACTTTTTAAGCCATACAAATCATTTCTCAATCTATCTATATATATTGAAAGATGTTGTTGGAATAATCTAAAATAGTATTTTTGACTTTGTAATTCAATAGTTAACTTACTATTAAAGAAAATATAGTAAAAAATACAATTGATACTTTTTTAATAAAAAAATAAAAATCAAACTATACATATTTGTTGCAAATCATGCAATTCGGTTAATAACATGAATTTCTATATAAATAAACCGGTATCAATCTTGAAATTTATTTTGTAATAATTATCACAATAAAAATTCAATTAATTATATTAATTACTGTTAAATAGATTTCGTGATTTCGTGATTTTCTACAATACGTATTCAAATAATTTACTGTTAAATAGATTTTTTTTTAATGTAGAAAGTATCATTTGATTATTCATAATAATATTTCAAATATAATTACACAATAAAAATTGAAAATCAATTACCAAAACTATATTATGATATTTGTGAGAACAGGGGGAAGAGGGTGTGGTCCACTAGATGAAGCGCACCATAAGAGGGTGAGCCTAAGTGCACCATAGTGAGGTTCGATCTCAAAACCAATTGGTGATGGGAGGAGTGCCCCACTAGGATTATATACTAGGCTCATTTTCCCTATAAAATCAATGTGGGATAACTCACAAGTGATATTCCAACACGCACCCTCATTTGTGAGTCCTTCATAAGCCCTAGCCCACATAGCAGGCAGAGTACAGAGATAAGCCCAAGCCTAGAGCAGGCCGGATAGAGAGAGTCATTGCAGGTCCTAGGACAGGCCCGCTCTGATACCATGTGAGAACCGAGAGAAGAGAGTGCGATTCCGCCAGATGAAGCGCACCATAAGAGGGTGAACCTAGGTGCACCATAGTGAGATTCCATCTCAAAACTATTTGGTGATGGGAGGAGTAGTACACTAGGCTTATATACTAGGCTCATTTTCCCTATAAAATCAATGTGGGACAACTGACAAGTGATATTCCAACAATATTTATCACAATATTACAATATAATAATCTTACCTATCAACATCAATAACAAATCACTGTAATTCCTTGTTCATATGATAAAATATAAACATATGCATATTAAAATGTATTTTGTACAAATAATCTAAAATGAAAATTGTTATATTTATCCCTCATGGATTTAAAAATTTAATGGTAAAAATATAAAAATATAAGTAAACAATTACTTCTAGGATTACGTATATACGATATTAAAAGGATAAATCAAAAGGTCATTTTTCGAACTATCAAAGAAATTATTGGATTATAAAGAATCAAATGTTTATAATATTTATTGTTATAAATTATGATAAACCATGAGTCATTTGTCGAACTGACATGCAAATTAGAAGTTTAGAAAGAAAAATCTAAACATTTATAATACATATATTGCTACAGGTTATGATGACAACCCAACAAATCATCTGTCAAACTATACATAAAAAGTATTAACTTAAAAAATAATTATGATGTATATTGTTTGTAAAATATGATAAACTAACAAGTAATAAATTTGACAACGACGTAAATTGTTACATTAAAATATTTATAATGTATATTTTTATAAATTATAATGATAAATCAGTCTCATTGTTGAATTGTCATATAAATTAATAGATTAGAAAAATAAAATAAAATACTTATAATGGACATTAGTATATTTTATAAAATACAAAATAAAATAATGTTGACGTATTTAAAATTTATTAAATTTTTAACTTCAAAATAATATATATTACAGTCTTTTTCAATAAGTGCGTGTTATAATATTTGCCATAATTTTTCAACTTTAACATAACTATTTAAGAATCGAAATATTGTAATAACATATGAGTAGGAGAGGAATGAGAGAAAAGTATTATGTGACTATTATTTATTGATAATATGTGAATATGTTAAATTTCTCTAATACTTAATTATAATCAAGAACTCTAAAGTTACACCTATTATATAACGAAACATATAAGTCATACATTAAATTATTATATATCATAAAATAAAAGATAATAATAATAATAATAATAATAATAATAATTTTAATATTAATTAATATTTCTTAATTTCTTTAATATATACAATTTGTAATTATTTTCACGTGTATCGCACGAGCTACGTATTAGTTTTATAGTTATAGAGATTATCGTATTAGGGACAAACAAACATATTGTCATGTATACATTTGGTATCAAATACTTTGTATCGTATTATCTTTACTCATGTCCTCAATAAGTATCGTGTTAGAGTCCTTAGCCAAACACATTAAGTAAAAAAAAAGGCCTTGTTTGGCATCGATCATGCCGGGCGGACTTCACATACTTGATGACCCTCCCACGGGGGTGAAACTGTGGCTTGAACATGATGTTCTAGGGATCGCCCACCCTCGCAAGATCGTAGTCTAAGGCATTCAC